CCAATTTTCAAAGGAGGTCGACTAAGCAAATCTTCGAGTTATCGACCGGTGGCTCTTCTCTCTATACCTTTAAAAATTATGGAGTCCCTGATATGCGACGGTATGCATGACTATTTATTATCCTTAAGCTTCTTTTCACCCAAACAGCACGGTTTCAGAGGGGACCATTATTGTATAACCAACATGCTGACTGCGGTGGACAGAGCCCCTTGATTGCTAGGGGTCTTGGATTTTAGCGCGAAATCCATCCACACATTTGGCTAAATACTATTTCGACATTATAGCTGATGTCAGTTCGTGATTAAAACACTAAATATAGTTTTCAACCCTAGTCAGCAACTCTGGATCACGATTATAATTCCTTACATTGCTTAATAACCCTCGTTTAGTCCTTGTTAGTAGGTGGACATTCCCAAGGTCATTTCGGCATTGCTACAAGGTCGTTCGTAAACTACAGTCTCATTACTTATTGGGATCAACACTGTTCGGTATGGGACAGGCATTCTTTTGGAAATATAACACCGTTATGTTTTTTTTCGGCATTGAATATACGTGCTAATCCTCGTTCATTATTTCAGTCATTTTATTTTATGCGAATACTTTTGTATACACAATGAATTTTGGTCCAATGTTTTTTTCGAATCGCTTTACGAAATTATTTGACATCCATTACCAGTTTTATGCATGATCTATGTGGTGCACCGTTTATGAAAACAACAACTTATAAGTTAGTCTGGCAAGTATTGCATTGAAGTGTGATATTTTCGGCAGTGGTTCCAAAGTATAATCAGCATAATAATAAAGCCTGCACATATTCATGTAACGTCTTTTACTTTTCAGTTATGAGTAACATCTACGTTACCGAACCAGCAACTCATGGTAAAGTTATTCTAAAGACCACAGTTGGGGAAATAGAAATTGAGTTATGGTCCAAAGAAGCCCCTAAAGCATGCAGAAATTTTGTCCAGCTGTGTATGGAGGGCTACTATAATGACACAGCATTCCATCGGCTTGTTCGTGGTTTCATCGTTCAGGGTGGAGATCCGACAGGTACTGGAGAAGGTGGAGAAAGTATATACGGACAACCCTTTAAGGTTGGTCAAAAGTATTTTACTTATTCTTTATGTATCTTCCGATTTTGTCGTGGTTTTTGTCCTAGCTTTTAGTTCGTTTTCTCTTATGACAGGACTACCAGATCATTATGTTTGTTCGATTCCACCATTAAAAGACACAAAATCCAGCAAAATCCCCTCTTGACAAATTTATAATCAAAAAGGTCACAGAATAGTATTTTATATATATTCTTCAAAGAGTTAAATTCTCAAAGTAAATATGAACAGTAAATAATTGTGGCAACGTAATATTGGTTGTAATACTAAGTTGTAGTGTTAATGATGACGAAATAAAATTATTTGAATGAAGGTTGTTAAACTAACATGTAACTACAAATTGAGCTAGGCCATCAAAGTAGGCTTTTTGTGTTACTACTTAAATTGACCTTTAGACAGACAACTAACCACATTTATTTGACTGTTAATTTTTTAAAGATGATTTCTTTGAAGTAGCATTCCATTTCACTATGTTAGTAACCAACTTACAGTCCCTTTTGGTTATAAACTTATTTAACAATTTATTGAGTTTAACTAGTAGAGTCCTCATGTCTTAAATCTCTTGCTCTTATATCGTTCAGACGGAAATTCATTCAAGACTATCCTTCAATCGTCGTGGCCTTGTTGGGATGGCATGCCTTGAAGAAAACATGAACGGGAGTCAGTTTTTCTTCACTCTAGGGTCGGCTACAGAACTTACAGGAAAACACACATTGTTTGGTCGTGTGGCTGGTGAAACTCTGTTCAATATGCTGCGGCTCGGTGAAGGAGATGTAGGCCGAAACGAACGACCGTTGAGGCTTCATCGGATTGTGAGCACTTATGTAAGCCATCATATATATATGTATATATTGTATGATCCATTTTGAAGGTTTTATGTGTTGGTGAAAATCCCTCCATGTATATACTTGTACTTTATTCCTATTGATCGCATTAGTTGTACATTGTTGTATTTTGATTACATTTGAATTGTTAATATTTGTATTTTTGTTATATTTTTTGTTTTTATTACGCATTCACTAAGTTTGTGTTTCTTCCTGAACTGCATCTGCGTTGTTTTACTTGACACTTGTTCTTGGCGGTAGCCATATTGGTTTGTTCCTCCTGTTGTGTGTGATCTACCCAGCCAGGATAGAATAACGTTGATTTGTTGTGATTGGTAATTTTTCCTCATCTATCAACTTCTTTATTTATTGTAATTTAGATTTAATTGATTGAACAATCATTGGTTGAATAGCCGGGTGATAATATTTGTTTAGGTAATGATTTACATTAAATTTATTACGAATTATAGAACCGCTAGTTACCCGATTACTTGTTCTGATTTCGACGGGAAAGGGCGCGTGTCTAAAATCCCCGGTCGGCTATTCTTCAACATCCAAACCGTAGTTTCGATCCTACAGTTCTAAACAAGTATTACTTGGCCGAAATCCTTTGGTAATCGTTCACGGATTTTCTGGAAATAATTGGTCGTGTCGCTTATAATGCCAGTTAATCGTCGAAGGAGATCAGGCTCAAAGTTCGTCGATGTTAACGAAGAATCTCCTATTGTCAAGCAAGTGCCTTTTGACATCCTTAAGGGTCATGGTTCAGACTTAAATAGGGTTAATTATCATGGCAGTGATTCTAGCCTTAATTCGATGTCAGTTGATGTAAAAAATCTTAGTTTAAGGGAGGAGCAAAGGCCTGGATTACTGGGAAAGAGCATGTCGCCTATAGTCCATGTTGTTGGCCCAGAGCTACCAAAGGTTGAACTGAGTTATTTCGATGGAGAGCCAAGAGGTTATTGGAAATTTATAAGGCAATTTGAGACGTATGTAGCGTCAAGAGTCACGGATGATAGCCAGCATTTACTCTATTTGATGCACTACTGTAAGGGCAAGGCTAAAACAGCTATTGAAGGTTGCATCATGATGGAGGCATCCTCTGGCTATAAAAGAGCAAGGGAGATTTTAAAACGTTTTTTCGGACAGCCTCACGTAATTGCTCGAGAAACACTAGAGGACTTATTCAGTGCTGTGAATTTTGAGTATATTGACGGGGACCAACTATCAAATTTGGCTATTAAGATGGGAAACTGTGCCATGGTCTTGGAGCAGATGAATTATACTTCTGATCTAAATTCCTTAGTTACCTTGGAAAGAATAGTGAGACTCTTGCCTCAACCTATGCAAGCCCAGTGGGCGGACTGGGTGGATAAATTGACTGAAGATAACAGGGAACCGACCTTCGACGAGCTCACTCAGTTTATCGCATCGCGTGCGAGAGTGGCTTGTAGTAGATTTGGACGGTTAGCAAACCGTTCTAGAAAAGGACATAACGTAAAGACGAACTGTCACGTGCAATCAGAGCAAGGGAATAGTTCGACAATGAAAACTAAATGCAGTATGTGTTCCTACGACCATGCCATTGATAAATGTCCACAGTTCTTAGCGCTTACAGTTCAAGACCGATGGTCTCACGCTAAAGGCAAGGGTATCTGTTTCGTCTGTCTTAGACAAGGACATAAGGTTAATGAATGTAAGATGACAAGGCTCTGTAAGGTTGACAGTTGCGAGAGGAGACATCACGCTCTGCTGCACACTGACTCGACAAGCAACGTCGTAAATGATAAGTCATCATATCCGGAATATAGGAAAAGAGTTGTTAATCATACCAGTAAGATACAGACATTAGAGAGCGAAATACGTAAGCCTTATGACGTAGAGTTTTCAGATGCTTATTCAAGTGATAAATCATTATCAGTAGACGACAAGGTGGCTATGAAGATTGTGGAAGGTGGCATGCGCTTCGGCAACGGTCATTTTGTAGTTTCTATACCTTGGAAAAAGAATCCAGATATGAAAGTGGATAACTATGAAGTAGCAAACCGTAGATTACAAAGTTTGAAGGGTATGTTGTCGAAGGATGTCAGTCTGCACATCAAGTATATCAAAAGTACTGAAAGTGATTTTACTAAGACTTATGCGGAGAGGGTCTTTGAAATATATCTGCAGTCTTATTATCGCCCTCGATGGTATTTACCTCATCGTGCAGTATTAAACATGAAAAAACCAGATCTTAGAGTGGTCCTTGATTGTGCCGCCCAGTTTGCAGGGGTTCCTCGAAATGATATGATTTATCAAGAACCCGATACCACTGCTGAGTTAAGGTGTATATTAATAAGTTTTCGCAAGGAGGCAGTTGCAATCCCTGTAGATGTTGAAGAAATGTTCATGCAAGTGAAGGTCCCTGAGTCTGATCGAGGAGCTTCAAGATTTCTGTGGTGGCAAGAGGGAGACATGTCGAGGGAATCATCCGAGTTTCAAATGACATCCCATCCATTTGATGCCACATCATCGCCGTTTCGTGCGAACCTTGCCTTGAATAAGACGGCCCAAATATTCTCTGACGATTATGATAGTTATGTCGTAGATACTGTCAAGGATAATTTCTATGTTGATGATTGCTTGATATCCATTCCCACTTGTGATCAAGCAAAGAGTTTCGTTAAGCATATAAGTGAATTATTATGTAGAGGAAGTATACAAAAAATGACCGATCTTGAATCTTGGTTCAAATGTCCTATTTTATGGCATGGCGAATTTTATATAACAATCACTGACTGTCCGGAACCTACTCTTGACGATAATGAGTTTAGAAAAACTGCTGTGGTTAACTTGAGTAGTATAAAGTACAACAAGACACCTGTTCTCTCTTATTATTCCGAGTGGTTGAAATTAGTCAGAGCTGTAACCTGGTTTAGAAGGTTCATCGAATTCCTGATGGTACTTCGTTTGCCGAGTTGTGAAGGATCCGTTCATCTAGGATGTTTAAAGGTCAAAGAGCTTGAGATTGTCAAGCGTAAGATTTTATTAATGGTTCAGAGAGAAGTGTATGGAGAATTACTTAGTGAATTTAAGAACAGCAGTAAAGTAGTAAGCCATGATGATCTGAAAGGTTTATCGTTGATGATGCTTGATGGGTTACTCTGCGTTGGAGGTCGACTAAGATACTCAGATTTCCCAAATGCTTTTAAACATCCAGTAATTTTACCCAGTCGACACTTAGTGACGGAAATGATAGTTAGACATTGTCATAAAGAACAAGGACACATAGGAAGATCATTAGAAAAAGGGTATGGATATGTGTTTACTTGTTTGCAAACATGGGCAGTACATATTGAAATGATGTGTAATTTGATTACTGATTCATTTTTAATGGCTCTATTACGTTTTATTGGAAGAAGAAGGAAACCTCCAGAGATTTACAGTGTCAGTGCGTCAAGCTTCGTGGGGACAGTTTCTGAGTTAAGCAAGTTTGTGCAGCAGTCGAATCAGAAGATAAACATTGAGTTGTCAGCGAAGCCCTCATCCAACAGCATGGGTGGAGTTTGGGGAAGAGTGATTAGGTCTATATCACGACTGTTATTGTTGATCACCAGAGAACAGGTGAAGCAGGTCTCCTTGAAGCTTTGGATTAATCTTTGTTGTTATTAATGTAGTTAGGTCGAGTAGGCGAACTGTTGTAAGTCCTACTCGTTCCTATAGTGTGATATGTTATATAATGAACCATGACCGTAGGCGTCAAGGTAGCTTGTGTGGTATGGAGGGATTTTGGGGGCCGGTGTAAGATCCATTTTGAAGGTTTTATGTGTTGGTGAAAATCCCTCCATGTATATACTTGTACTTTATTCCTATTGATCGCATTAGTTGTACATTGTTGTATTTTGATTACATTTGAATTGTTAATATTTGTATTTTTGTTATAGTTTTTGTTTTTATTACGCATTCACTAAGTTTGTGTTTCTTCCTGAACTGCATCTGCGTTGTTTTACTTGACACTTGTTCTTGGCGGTAGCCATATTGGTTTGTTCCTCCTGTTGTGTGTGATCTACCCAGCCAGGATAGAATAACGTTGATTTGTTGTGATTGGTAATTTTTCCTCATCTTCTATCAACTTCTTTATTTATTGTAATTTAGATTTAATTGATTGAACAATCATTGGTTGAATAGCCGGGTGATAATATTTGTTTAGGTAATGATTTACATTAAATTTATTACGAATTATAGAACCGCTAGTTACCCGATTACTTGTTCTGATTTCGACGGGAAAGGGCGCGTGTCTAAAATCCCCGGTCGGCTATTCTTCAACATCCAAACCGTAGTTTCGATCCTACAGTTCTAAACAAGTATTACTTGGCCGAAATCCTTTGGTAATCGTTCACGGATTTTCTGGAAATAATTGGTCGTGTCGCTTATAATGCCAGTTAATCGTCGAAGGAGATCAGGCTCAAAGTTCGTCGATGTTAACGAAGAATCTCCTATTGTCAAGCAAGTGCCTTTTGACGTCCTTAAGGGTCATGGTTCAGACTTAAATAGGGTTAATTATCATGGCAGTGATTCTAGCCTTAATTCGATGTCAGTTGATGTAAAAAATCTTAGTTTAAGGGAGGAGCAAAGGCCTGGATTACTGGGAAAGAGCATGTCGCCTATAGTCCATGTTGTTGGCCCAGAGCTACCAAAGGTTGAACTGAGTTATTTCGATGGAGAGCCAAGAGGTTATTGGAAATTTATAAGGCAATTTGAGACGTATGTAGCGTCAAGAGTCACGGATGATAGCCAGCATTTACTCTATTTGATGCACTACTGTAAGGGCAAGGCTAAAACAGCTATTGAAGGTTGCATCATGATGGAGGCATCCTCTGGCTATAAAAGAGCAAGGGAGATTTTAAAACGTTTTTTCGGACAGCCTCACGTAATTGCTCGAGAAACACTAGAGGACTTATTCAGTGCTGTGAATTTTGAGTATATTGACGGGGACCAACTATCAAATTTGGCTATTAAGATGGGAAACTGTGCCATGGTCTTGGAGCAGATGAATTATACTTCTGATCTAAATTCCTTAGTTACCTTGGAAAGAATAGTGAGACTCTTGCCTCAACCTATGCAAGCCCAGTGGGCGGACTGGGTGGATAAATTGACTGAAGATAACAGGGAACCGACCTTCGACGAGCTCACTCAGTTTATCGCATCGCGTGCGAGAGTGGCTTGTAGTAGATTTGGACGGTTAGCAAACCGTTCTAGAAAAGGACATAACGTAAAGACGAACTGTCACGTGCAATCAGAGCAAGGGAATAGTTCGACAATGAAAACTAAATGCAGTATGTGTTCCTACGACCATGCCATTGATAAATGTCCACAGTTCTTAGCGCTTACAGTTCAAGACCGATGGTCTCACGCTAAAGGCAAGGGTATCTGTTTCGTCTGTCTTAGACAAGGACATAAGGTTAATGAATGTAAGATGACAAGGCTCTGTAAGGTTGACAGTTGCGAGAGGAGACATCACGCTCTGCTGCACACTGACTCGACAAGCAACGTCGTAAATGATAAGTCATCATATCCGGAATATAGGAAAAGAGTTGTTAATCATACCAGTAAGATACAGACATTAGAGAGCGAAATACGTAAGCCTTATGACGTAGAGTTTTCAGATGCTTATTCAAGTGATAAATCATTATCAGTAGACGACAAGGTGGCTATGAAGATTGTGGAAGGTGGCATGCGCTTCGGCAACGGTCATTTTGTAGTTTCTATACCTTGGAAAAAGAATCCAGATATGAAAGTGGATAACTATGAAGTAGCAAACCGTAGATTACAAAGTTTGAAGGGTATGTTGTCGAAGGATGTCAGTCTGCACATCAAGTATATCAAAAGTACTGAAAGTGATTTTACTAAGACTTATGCGGAGAGGGTCTTTGAAATATATCTGCAGTCTTATTATCGCCCTCGATGGTATTTACCTCATCGTGCAGTATTAAACATGAAAAAACCAGATCTTAGAGTGGTCCTTGATTGTGCCGCCCAGTTTGCAGGGGTTCCTCGAAATGATATGATTTATCAAGAACCCGATACCACTGCTGAGTTAAGGTGTATATTAATAAGTTTTTGCAAGGAGGCAGTTGTAATCCCTGTAGATGTTGAAGAAATGTTCATGCAAGTGAAGGTCCCTGAGTCTGATCGAGGAGCTTCAAGATTTCTCTGGTGGCAAGAGGGAGACATGTCGAGAGAACCGTCTGAGTTTCAAATGACAACTCATGCATTTGGTGCCACATCATCGCCGTTTCGTGCGAACCTTGCCTTGAATAAGACGGCCCAAATATTCTCTGACGATTATGATAGTTATGTCGTAGATACTGTCAAGGATAATTTCTATGTTGATGATTGCTTGATATCCATTCCCACTTGTGATCAAGCAAAGAGTTTCGTTAAGCATATAAGTGAATTATTATGTAGAGGAAGTATACAAAAAATGACCGATCTTGAATCTTGGTTCAAATGTCCTATTTTATGGCATGGCGAATTTTATATAACAATCACTGACTGTCCGGAACCTACTCTTGACGATAATGAGTTTAGAAAAACTGCTGTGGTTAACTTGAGTAGTATAAAGTACAACAAGACACCTGTTCTCTCTTATTATTCCGAGTGGTTGAAATTAGTCAGAGCTGTAACCTGGTTTAGAAGGTTCATCGAATTCCTGATGGTACTTCGTTTGCCGAGTTGTGAAGGATCCGTTCATCTAGGATGTTTAAAGGTCAAAGAGCTTGAGATTGTCAAGCGTAAGATTTTATTAATGGTTCAGAGAGAAGTGTATGGAGAATTACTTAGTGAATTTAAGAACAGCAGTAAAGTAGTAAGCCATGATGATCTGAAAGGTTTATCGTTGATGATGCTTGATGGGTTACTCTGCGTTGGAGGTCGACTAAGATACTCAGATTTCCCAAATGCTTTTAAACATCCAGTAATTTTACCCAGTCGACACTTAGTGACGGAAATGATAGTTAGACATTGTCATAAAGAACAAGGACACATAGGAAGATCATTAGAAAAAGGGTATGGATATGTGTTTACTTGTTTGCAAACATGGGCAGTACATATTGAAATGATGTGTAATTTGATTACTGATTCATTTTTAATGGCTCTATTACGTTTTATTGGAAGAAGAAGGAAACCTCCAGAGATTTACAGTGTCAGTGCGTCAAGCTTCGTGGGGACAGTTTCTGAGTTAAGCAAGTTTGTGCAGCAGTCGAATCAGAAGATAAACATTGAGTTGTCAGCGAAGCCCTCATCCAACAGCATGGGTGGAGTTTGGGGAAGAGTGATTAGGTCTATATCACGACTGTTATTGTTGATCACCAGAGAACAGGTGAAGCAGGTCTCCTTGAAGCTTTGGATTAATCTTTGTTGTTATTAATGTAGTTAGGTCGAGTAGGCGAACTGTTGTAAGTCCTACTCGTTCCTATAGTGTGATATGTTATATAATGAACCATGACCGTAGGCGTCAAGGTAGCTTGTGTGGTATGGAGGGATTTTGGGGGCCGGTGTAAGATCCATTTTGAAGGTTTTATGTGTTGGTGAAAATCCCTCCATGTATATACTTGTACTTTATTCCTATTGATCGCATTAGTTGTACATTGTTGTATTTTGATTACATTTGAATTGTTAATATTTGTATTTTTGTTATAGTTTTTGTTTTTATTACGCATTCACTAAGTTTGTGTTTCTTCCTGAACTGCATCTGCGTTGTTTTACTTGACACTTGTTCTTGGCGGTAGCCATATTGGTTTGTTCCTCCTGTTGTGTGTGATCTACCCAGCCAGGATAGAATAACGTTGATTTGTTGTGATTGGTAATTTTTCCTCATCTATCAACTTCTTTATTTATTGTAATTTAGATTTAATTGATTGAACAATCATTGGTTGAATAGCCGGGTGATAATATTTGTTTAGGTAATGATTTACATTAAATTTATTACGAATTATAGAACCGCTAGTTACCCGATTACTTGTTCTGATTTCGACGGGAAAGGGCGCGTGTCTAAAATCCCCGGTCGGCTATTCTTCAACATCCAAACCGTAGTTTCGATCCTACATATATATATATACTTTTGGTTGAATTCTCGTAAACTCATCCCATCAGACACTGAACGCGATGAAGAGCGTAAATAAATCAGATCTAGGCTAACCCAAAGTTTGAGGGACGACCGTGAGCAGTGGTGGGCAACGAAAGCGAAAGAGGTGGAAATGGCAGATGCTGTAGGTAACACAATACACCTTTTCAGACTAATAAAAGAAACCGAATTATTTTCAGTGAGTTAGTTTTCTACAGGATGGGGTCGCTAACCCCACGCTCAACCCTCCTCTTTTACCCGGGCTTGTGACCGGCAGTAACTCTAGAAGAGCTACAGGTTTAAGTAAGTTAACGAAACTGGAATTAAGAAATCATGTGTATGTGAAACGATCTTTGGAAAAGGCAATACTATTACGTGCTTCAACTTGGACGTTTATACCACTTTAGGGAGCGCTTTAATCGGCCTTAATCTATCTTACGGCTACCTAGCATTCACAAACATTCTGGATGGAACAATAGATTAGAACAGTATCTTACATTTATTTACCCATTTCTTTTTCCTCTTTTGTCGTTGATATACCGAGGTTCCTGCCTGGAGGTATTGGTGATCCACTGCTATTAGACACAGGTTTCCGTGGTTCGAAAGCTTCTTCTTTTGCGTCCACAACCTCTTGAACCATTTGAAAGTAACCCAAGTATTCTCTTAAAGCCTTCATTACACAAAAAACATAACAAATCACAACAAGTACTACATCACTTGATAAACAGTTGAAATTTATATGAATTTAAAAAAAGGAATACTGTTTTCTAACTTTTCGCTCGTCGTTAGCATTGAATGACTATGCCATTGTTACTAGGTCACACATTATGTTCGTTAGCGCCACCACACTTTTGATCGTGAAGGTCACCTGGGGGCAAACGGTATCTTCTGTTAATTTTTTTATTGTGTTGTTATGTGGCCTAGTTTTTACTTGTGGATAAATTTAGTCAAAACTGTCACAGAAGTCAGATTCCGTTTTGTGCTCTGGGGTAAGAACATCAAACATTAGTGTCAGTTCGTCACTAACATACTATACGCTTCTGAATGTAACTATAGCCTATAGGCTTTTCTTGAAAGCTCGGACACTTGTTCGCACGAAATTATGTTCGCGTGGTTGATAACTTTTTCGGAAAATCTTTGTGCCATGGAGATTCTTGTTTTAAATTGACCTTGTTGGTATACCAACAAGCCCTATGGGGCTCAAAGAAACAGATGTTTCGGCTAATTTGGCTCGGTTAAGTCGTCACAATTTGAAATACCAGTTATCAAACCATGGCAACAAATACAGCTGGTTTCAATGAATAACCAAATGTAGGAAAGAACAAGATAAATATTGGTATGCGATAACACTAACCTTAATATCTTGAGTGGTATAAAAAGTGAGTATATTTGGAGCACTGACTAGTTTTGAACTGCGTAATTTGGAGTCTTTAGCCATAGGCACGACTTACTCCGCAGTTTCAATATTTAACTGCATGGCGCATACATACATCCAGTAACTTCCACAACTGTGATGCACGTCACCCACATTGCTTCCCTATTTTCTCGTATTTATTTTCAAAGTATATTACATTGAAATGCTACTGTGCTTGTGTAATACGTACTGACCACCTGTCGATAATAGTTTACAACCATATAAACCTAGTATCCACACATTGTGACATAAAACTTGCATCATTATTGAATTGATTCTAACATGCTGAGGCAATGTTTTGAAGAGACCTACGATCAAATAATAACAACCTACCCATATCTTCTGCTTTGATTGATGCTTTATAGTAAAAACCAAGGCACAACAAACGAAGTTGCAAAATGTAGGACCTATGATGGGCAGATAAACATGCCAGCATCACAGTCGCAAGTACATGTGCACTGGGGTTTTTTGTATTCGTGCCAAGTTTCTGTCAGACACAAACCAGGTCTAGTAAGGTTTCTAAACAAGGTGGCCCTAATAAATTGTTTCATTTGGCTAGACTAAGCATTAGTACACCTGCCATATCTCGTCCCATAGATTGTGTGGAACTACGAGTAACAAATAAGCTTTATGTATGTACACTAAGATTTCGTCTACTACCAACCCATCAAAGCTGATACGAATATCAAGTTGAGTGGAGTGATGCTGAACGTACTTTACAATCAAACAGATTTCAAATAGCACTGTCACGAAACATCACATTGTACTGGATTCACGATTAGCTTTCAACTCACAGGAAAGCACGGATAGTTGAACTGCATGAAAATGTTTAGCGAATTTTCTTGTTATGTAGGAAAGTACTGGGCTTATAAACACTTTATTTTAGTGAGCTCCTTAAAACTTGATGCACGTTGATTTGTGGCGGATTATGGGTATGAGTGTATGTAAGTTCTCTACTCGAGACATTCCATAAAACCCACATTAAGTATGCAGAATCTGGCTGTCAGTTAGTATTATCAACACAAAAGTAGCAGTCAGATTCCATTAGTTAGGTTCAAATCAGTAAAAAGTACGCGTTTATGTATTCTTATTTCTTACCAGTGACACTACCGGGTAACTCAAACGAAAGTAAACATAATTGTTCTTACTTGGTAACCATTAATTGAAGATCGAGGTGCCTTGCTATTAAATCACAGTCTTAGCTATAGATGTGTTTAAAGTTTAAACATCCGGCAATAAAATAACATCTTGTGTGAGATATAGTATCAAGATACTGCTTCAGTTTGGACACCCGGGCAGTATCACAGCCCTCACACAAATCAAATGAGATTCGTGTGGCGCATGTGTATCTGGTGCACCCTTGTACCAATATCTATGTGTTTAAATAAATCAATAAATAAAATGTTTAGCTTATGTGTTCGAATCTGTCACCTTGGAAAAATTGGGATAGGAACGGAGAAAAAAGTGAGTTTAAAGGGACTAAATAAAAATACACCAAGTCCTGAAGTTATTTCGTTTTGCTAATGCAAAATAAAGATTTCACATAAAGACTTTTTCTTTAGAAATTAGAAACTCCTTCGTACAGTTATTAACGTAAGACAAAGTCCTTTATGATACTTGCACCCGTTTATATTCGTAGTTCATATTTTGACTTGTTTTGTGGTCACATTTATTTGTTGAATAACTTGTTAGGTTTTCTAATTTTACTTTCAAAGTTTTATTGATCTCAATCCCACAGCTCATTTACTGAGACACACTACGTTGCCTTTTTGGAATGTACAATACAAAGAATTTTATGCTTACGATTAGTTTGTGTTTAAAAGTAGCTCTAATCTCATGATATAAGGAAGTTATACAACAATAAATGGTAGACGCGTTTACATGCACTGCTTCGCAAGATGTTACAAACAACAGTTGTGGATTTCGTAGACAGTCTCTCACTCCAAATTTTCAAGCAGGATTACAACCGTCCGATCAGATACAAGAACAAACATCATTCGGCGTAGCGGGTCGCTGCAGCATACATGCTCATATAGAAGGAATTTCAAGAAATTACGTCCCTACTTATGTACACTCGAATTTCGTCCATGGAATTGATTCCATACCTTTTGTACGATCATGTCCGAATATGGGTGATTATCATGCATTCGAAAATGTTAATAATGGTCATTCAAATAGATTATTTAGTAGCCAGTTCCTGACTTCGTGCCCACCTGCTATTCCTGAGGTGCAGTCGAATCTATCTCAAGACGAGGAGGTTTCTCGTCCATGTTGCTTCTGCACTTTCTGCGCCCCAGTCATACCAAAAACACACTGTTTTGATATTTGCTGTTTCAAATCAAAATGTTTGGTCCCAACTCTTTCACCATGCCCACCTAATGCTCTTTTCTGCCTACTTTTCACTGGGCCTTGCAAATGTCCTTTGTTTTCTTTCCCGCGTCACCGAGTAACTAATGAAAATCTTATAATTCTAAGCATAATTCAGTTGTTATGTGGTTTCGCAGCTATCGTCCTCTCGAGTGTTGCTTTCACCAAGTCAGTCTTTTTATATCAGATGGCTACAGGATTATGGGCTGGAATATTAATGGTGGTTACTGGATTTCATGGTCTTCTTGCTGCTCGTCGCCCTATTGTATGTGCCTTAGTAGGGTTGTTGGTGCTGTGTATGGTTGTAAGCTTGTCTGCGTGTGTTCTCATTTGTGTTTCTGTGGCTGGGACAATAGAAGATGGTTTTCTTAGCAGTACTGTTACACGGAAAGGGTTTTCACGTGAACTTACGAAAATTTCACCAAGTCACCGCGAGAACAAAACTTTCTTTCAAAGGCACGACCCGAAGTCTTCATTGGTGGTGTTAACAACCAGAAATCAGGATTGGTCTGATTTACAGCTTTCAGACTTTAAAAATGTCCTGCGTGAAACGTCTGATACCTACGTGCGCACATGCCAAGTTATTTTGCACCTCCTTTTGTTGGTAGTCGGTATTCTAGAAGCATCGGTCAGCCTTGCAACATCCATTCTCTGTTGTCGGTGTGTTTGCTCAAATTCTCTTAATTTACGATTTCAAAATTCACGTTCATTACGTACTAATATAGTGTCATTCAATGCTGCTACAGCTAATCAAGCAGCTTCCGTGCTTCGATCAGGTGCAATAAATGACTTTGTTGGTACTGGCAATGTAATATTAGCCCTCGATTCAGATGTACCGACACGAAATTATCCCATCAGTAATGCTAATGAAGTAGTTCGTAAGCCACAAATCCACCATACATTAATCCCTTTTTTATCGGAGTTGAATCGTCACTCATTAATTCTCACACAAGCAGGTACTGGTACAGTAGCTTTATCTGCCGCTCGTGCAGCTGCCAACCTATTCGATTCAGAGAGCTTCGAAACTCAAGATCGAACTTCAGTTGCTTGCTCTTCCAGCAATGAACAGTCCTCTACTCGACAACCTGGTACCTTAAGTAGATCTATA